CCCGTGTCATTACCCCGGGGGGGGGGGGGAGGTGGGTAGTACAGCTGGAGGCAGAGAGGCTGGTGGTTTGACTGTTATTTATTACTTACTCACTGAATGCTGAAAATATGCTGGGCAAGGCTTGGCCTTGTGGTTAGAATATTGGCATTGAGTCCCCACTCTGTGGGTTTAGGCAAGTCACATAATACCCTCAATGTGATCTGACTGTTATTTATTACTTACTCACTGAATGCTGAAAATATGCTGGGCAAGGCTTGGCCTTGTGGTTAGAATATTGGCATTGAGTCCCCACTCTGTGGGTTTAGGCAAGTCACATAATACCCTCAATGTCTAAGCCTCCCCAGTCATCAAACAGAAAGGGTAATGCTCACCCCCGGGGGCCGTTAGGCTTCGGTTAATTTTGTGAATGGCTCTGAAAAGACGTGTCTGAAAGGCTGCTTGGCCCATGGGTTAGGGAACCTGACTGGAAGTCAAGAGGCCTAAGTGCCGTTCCTATCTAACTTTCTTCGATGCTTTGGTGGCCCTCAATACCATGCTATTTTTTGTTGGCAGGCCCACTCTACGTTCTGGTAGAATATGCGTCAAAAGGGAACTTGCGGGAATATCTCAGGGCTCGTCGGCCACCTGGCATGGACTATTCCTTCGACACTTGCAAGCTTCCAGAAGAGCAGTTAACATTTAAAGATTTAGTCTCGTGTGCCTATCAGGTGGCCCGTGGCATGGAGTATTTAGCATCTCAGAAAGTGAGTTGAGAGACTTGGAGTTTGTTATTATTTATCACATACGTACACATGTGTGTAGTGCCACAGATGCGGAAAGTGCATTGTGAGCAAATCAATGAGTGAGTGCTGCCCATATGAGCCTAAAAGTACAAGAGGTATTTTTTCCAATAAGAAATGCACTTCTACTTGCAAAGAAGCAAGTCCATTTGCATATTAGTACATCCATTTATGAGCAACTTAGTGGGGTAATCAACTTAGCTATAATCAAAAATCCACCAGTAAGAATGTGAACATTGTGGCAATATCTGGGCACTGCAGAGACCTCAGTTGTGTGTTTTCAGTGAGCAGATACAAATGAGAAACATCTAAATGCAGAAGTCATTGACTTTCAGATATCCAATTCTCAGTCAGTCAAAGCTGCTATCGAAGGGTGGCCATGGTTTTAGAGCTGTACACTGCCTCTTGGTAGTGTCCATGTGACAGCAAAATTGAAGGTCAGTTTGAGAGAGAATCTCATCTCTGATAATAGTGACAAAAGTGGCCCCTTTTCAGGAATGCTAAAAGTGGAGAGCATTGAGGCTGGGGAAGAGACCCACCGTGTGCAAGTGTTCTTTACAAGTTACCAGTTGAACTCCTCTATTGTTAACCCAGTGAAGGATTTGGCCCAATGGTAACAAGATTTTCCAGAGAAATCTATCCACAAGCTCCTAAAGACATGAAAAACAGAGAGATGCGTTAGATCTGGTGCTACTCTCACACTTGCTACTCCTGATTCACACAGATGTAAGCAATTGGAGAATCAAGCCTTTTAATTCATCAGGTCTTGCATCCCCCTCCTAATGCAGAAGGTACCCCTCCCCCCCCATTTTACAAATGGGTGAACAAAGATGTTATTTTACACAGTGAGTCAGTCTGTAGAGCAGGGAAACAAAATCTTGGTGTCTTGATTCCCACTGTCCTATAGTAAACCATTAGCCCATGCTCTGCTCCCTTCAGGAAAAACAGTGCTGGCAGCTTGATATACAGCAGTGGGATCTAGAGGTCTCCTGTGGAGAAGGGGACTCTCCAGGCCAGATGTCCCATCCTGAGAGAGCAGAAGCAGCAGCACTGCTGTCTGGAGAGAGAGAGAGAGAAGGAGAGGGAGAAGAAGCGGGGGAGGGGTGTTGCTAAGAGGTGGTTTCTCTGAGACTGCATGTGGCACACTGACACGCAGGGTGAAGAAATTAAATAGTGCAGCTTTATTGGCTTTGGAGTAAATGCAACAGCACCTCGTAAACCACGCATCATAAGCAGTTTAATGAGACCATATTCATTTCTTTGCTCACCTTTCTCAGTGCATTCATCGAGACTTGGCAGCCAGGAACGTGTTAGTCACTGAAGACAATGTGATGAAAATTGCTGATTTTGGCCTTGCCAGAGATGTTCACAACATCGACTATTACAAGAAAACAACCAACGTGAGTATGTTGCTGCCAAGTGCATGGGAGTTCCTGGTGGGGGAAGGAGTCAGTAGCAAATGCCCGTGGACCACACCTTATTTTTGAACAAATTACTGCATTGAGCAAAAGAGTTTGGCCCTGTTCCAGCAGTTAATAGCAGAGAGGCAGGCCCAGTGCACCCAACAGGGAGTCCTGTTGAAATCAGTTCAGTCCGTTGTACACTGCCAGTTGCAGGATTGGTGCCTTCATGGCATTTGATTATACAGATATTTCTAGAAGCAGTTGGATCTGTGACTCTAAGGTGCAGTCTTACATACCATGAGCTTTGAAGTGAAACTCACTCTATACTGAAGGAGAAACCAAGCCACTCTGGTTATTCACTGCAGCTGTGGTCATATTGACCCTGAACTTTCCTATACCCCTCACTCCAAGGGGCATAACTTGTTCTATCACTATCAGATACAAATTAGCCAAAGGCTGGAAGCTCTAGGAGTTGTTTGCATACAGGAATGAATTCTGCTGCAGTTTATTTTTCCTCAGGCATCACTTTCATATGACCCTTGTTCTGGGTCTCTGGCATGCATTGCTTCTCCCGTTGAGCTCCTGGCAGGGTGAGAAGCCCTGTTGAAATTAAAAACACCTTATTTGATTTCAGTGGGACCATAGGGAAGCCATTGGATGAACTCACACTGTGCATTTTCCCTCTGCTTCTTACTAAGCAGCATTTTTGCACTAAGTTGAATAGTCTCTGCAAGCCAGTGAGACTTGGTGCCGATCCGACTCTATTTTGAAAAAATCCAGCCCCATAGTTGCCTTTTGCATATGATGGAGACTGGGTTTTTTTAGATGCTTCGATACATTAAACCTGCCTTGGCAGTGAAATGCAGCATGCAAGAGGGAGGGTGTTTATAACACAGCTACTCAGTGAAGAGTGGGGATCAAATGTTATAATCTGTTTACATGTGGCCACTACAGTCTTGCACTGTGATCAGGGAAGCAGATGTGGTTGCTAATGAAAATGTTTCAAACTGGATTAGAATAGAAGATTCAGATGGTGCCCTTGTGGCTGAGTGAATATGCTGATGGAACATTCCCTTTGTCTTCCTAATTACAGGGTCGGCTGCCTGTGAAATGGATGGCTCCAGAAGCATTGTTTGACCGGGTCTATACTCACCAGAGCGATGTGTAAGCATTACCCGCTTTTTAAAAAATTTAAAATAAAAGCAAAACAAAATACCAGAGGCGTTAAAGACAAATGCACTGATAAGCACAAATGGGGACTCTGAACTTTGAGCCTAGTGCTGGTGAAGACTGATAGCAAAAAACAAATCTGTGCTCGGCAGAAAGCTTTGTAATTAACTTTGAAATACAGTTCTGTACGTGCAACGTTGCCCTGCCCTCAGATAGCAGTTTTCATCCAGAGAGCTCTACGATCTTGCGCTTAGCTTTCTAGCACCTGCATAATAAGCATAGGCAAGTGTTTCATACCCAGAGTGTAGATGAGTAGACTGAATCGCAGAAAGGCTGTAGTCTTTGCTCAAGCAGAATTATTATTGACTTTGAATCGGATGGTCACATTTAATTATAGGAGGAAGCTCAGGGCCTACTTGCCTTGCTCCGAATTACTGAAGCTGGTCAGAGAAGAATTCATTAAATACAGGATCTGATCAGTTTTGGTTTTGGGGGGTCAACTAATGTATTGTACAATCCATGTTTGCTTTAACCTAGCTAGCTTTAGTGACTGTATGCTGTAAGAAAATGGTATAACCATTTCAGATCACCGCTGAACTCAGTGCTCTCCACTTTCACTTACATAAAAGCAGAAATCACCCAGCTAAGCATGATGGCTACTTTATTTTGTAATAAAGGGCTCCCTGAGTCAGTTTAGCAGAAAGTTGATGGAACTGCCAAAATCATCGTTTCAGTACTTAGCTAACGCAAAATTGGGCACAAAAGTTTACCTAAGCTGGAGAAAGGAGAGAATCTCTATTTTAAAATAAGAAAATGAAGGAGTCAAATGTTATTTTGAAAGAGAGGACTTTTAAATGTAGCACAGCTGCAGTGTGACAGCATGTAACATTAGTCCTCTGCTGATTTTTGTAGGGGGTGTTTCTTGCAGTCCAGCCAGTGAAATGGGGGTTGTAACAAGCAAGTTTTGGTATCAGTTTGCACTGCGGCCTGTGGTTCCTAGCCTGCAACTCAGTGAAGCTGTGCATGAATAATTTGATTTGTTCCATTCAGTGGAGCTGGTGGAAGACCTAACAAAGAGTATGGGGTAATAAATGGGCTGTCACCTATCTGATTAAATGCTCATTTCAGTTTCAGACATGGTGCCTGGGATTTCTTTGCTATTGAGTTGGATCAGCAGAGATCTCCAAGTAACTAGTAAAAATGGCCTAGGCAATTAGTCATGCTATTGATGGCTGTGTTAGCTATGCATGGCTGCACTGAAATAAAGTAAAAATGAACAAAAAAAACAAAAAAAACCTTTATTGAATTTTAAACACCTTTCTTTGGTTCCCAGCTGGTCTTTTGGAGTGCTGCTATGGGAGATCTTTACTTTGGGTGGGTCTCCATATCCGGGAATTCCAGTCGAGGAACTCTTCAAACTCTTGAAAGAAGGTCATCGGATGGACAAGCCAGCAAACTGCACTCATGACCTGTAAGTGCATGCATGGGAGAGAGTAGTGTAATCACTTCCCTTCTAGAAACTTTGCCAGGTGCATTAGTTTATTTTCCTTCTTAATTCAGTTTCTCCAGTCCTTTTCCAGTGTGTGTATAGATATCACTGCCTATTCCTTTGTCTGACCCCCGCTTACTTACTGTTTAAGCTCGCCCTGCTGTGTGATTGTTCGTCTGGCTCCAGATAGACTTATCAAGCCTGATACTTTTAGACTCAATATGTCAGTGACGGACAAAATGTGCAACTGTGCTTGCTATGCCTGATTGTTTCGTGTCAACTCAAAGCCCACATCAGCTATGGATTTGCCTCGTGCTTATGCCTGAACTTCCCAGTAAGCAATTGCATAGGAGCCTATGGGTTGAGGGAGGTGTGGAAATAGTCCTGCTTAGCACCCCCTCCTCTCCTTTGGGCTAGCACACCGCCTCTTGGTGACTTACCTTTTGAACACAGCTTTTCCTGCCTGATTGCTGCGCTACCCCAGAAACAAGTGTTTGTTTCACAGGACCCCTGTAATAAGGATCTGTGACAGATTGTTTTATAGAGTTTCTTTCTGTTCAACATACAGTTGCTCATATATGTAGAATGGGCCAAATTCTGTCTTTTTTGGTACAGGTAAGTGAAGTGCAAGTCAGGAGAGGACTTAGCCCACTCAGATGACAGAGACAAATAGTAACAGGGACATAAGCTCTTCTGTCCAGTCATGGCACAGTAGTCACTGTCAATGTTCCCTTAATTTTTTCCATCCATGTGCAGAATAAATGTTAAGTTCATCAAGGCATGTGTGTCTGTGCACTCCCAATAGGATCACATGCTGCCAGTTGTGGGTGCTGTGCTAATCAAATGGGTGGTATTTGAATCTCTGCTGAGTAGCTGCCTGAACTCAGCTTACAGGGAACACTGGTCACTATGAAAATGAAAAACACTTTCTCTAGCCTGAGGCTGGTTCTGAGTCTCAAAGTGGCATCGTTACATTTAGTTTATTTCAGCTTCAGTAACACCCTAAACGAATGTGAGTTAAGTAACATTTAATTGCCTGTGTCTGATTCCAATCCCTACACTGGGACTGAGGCAGGACAAATCACTATTCAGTGAGTCTTGTGATATCAGCACTCCATTTTAAGCCTATTGACTCGCCGTTCCCTGCTGTTGTCTTTTAACTCTTCCCCGGTCCAGTTGGCTTTGCCTGCTCCACGTTGTGGACAGACTGGGCCTGCAGTGTTTTGGATATAAAAGCAGACCAATCTGTAAGAAATTGGTACGTCCTCTTGTTTCGCAAGGTCTGTATCTCTCAGGGGAAATGCCTGTAAATATCATTGGTTACTGCTCTGGACAGGGCACTCGACTCTAAGGCCTGATGAGCGTCCTTTTGCTCTCACTTGTCCTCAGGAAAGTGACAGGGAGGAGCCAGACCCTTACAATTGTGTATCATGCAAACCAGATTTCCAGCGAGGACATGAAGGGCTTCTATTTGGATAATCCAATAGCTTCCTCTTCAAATGATTACGTTTATGGCCAGTGCTGTGAGTTGCAGGCTCCCCACCTTGTGAAGGGAGAGTGCATGTCTGTCAAAGAAATCAAAGTGTCAATTTCCTCTCTTTCATTTTGCCAAAGCCATTGGCAGCCCCAGGCCTGTGCTCCCAGTTGGAGTTGCCAAGGACCGTGTGAGAGACAGCTACTGTAATAAAGCTGCTGCTAGGCCCAGCTGTGTCTCAGTACTCTGTACCCTGAGCTTCCTTCATCTCTACACCCAGCTTCCATACCTGTCCCTCTTGGGCTCTTCTTGCGGGCACTGTGCTGGAGAGATTTCCCTACCATTGGCAGCCCCAGGCCTGTGCTCCCAGTTGGAGTTGCCAAGGACCGTGTGAGAGACAGCTACTGTAATAAAGCTGCTGCTAGGCCCAGCTGTGTCTCAGTACTCTGTACCCTGAGCTTCCTTCATCTCTACACCCAGCTTCCATACCTGTCCCTCTTGGGCTCTTCTTGCGGGCACTGTGCTGGAGAGATTTCCCTAGGGGATCCCCTTTTTTCTTTTTCAGATGATGTCCCCATGGGTGCTCCACGTCAGGTGTGGCAACATCCCGGAGCCTCAGTGCAGAGTCTTTTGCTAGCAGTGTCTGTGAACCATGCATGCGCGAGGGGAGCGCACGCTGTCCCTTGACTGTCACCTCGCACGCGCAGCTTGCCCTCTCCCCTCAGTTCCTCTTCTTCCATCCTCGGTCTCAGACAGAGTTCTTCAGTCTCTTCACTTCTCCTCAGAGGGAGTGGAAAGCCTCTCCCGTTTCCCTCCTTCAGGGCCCTTTCCCCTTTCTGTCATCATCTGGATTCATCTTTAAAAGAAAAAAACAAACAAACCTTTCTCTGTCAGTTTCATTACTGGCTTTTTTAAGCAGCTGCTGCCGGGCGGCCACTAAAAACCGCAGCTCCCTTCAATCTGCCTAGTCCTCTCTCTCAAAAAAAAAAGAGAGAGAGAGAGAGGAGAGGCTGAGAAGATGAAAAAGGCAGAAATCAACTGAGAGCAACAGTGCAAGTGTTAACGGCCACAACAGTCAGAGGCAATCCTGACAGAACGCTGGCCGACAGCTGCTCAGAGGCCGCAATGCCAGGCTCCTCCAGTTTTAAAAATGTCGAGTTTGTCCGGACTCTATGCCCATGTCAGACAGGCATGCAGAATGTATCTGCTGTCCAGGGGAGACTCATGTCCCCCAAAAATGTGATCTGTGCCATTCCCTCACTGCCAGAGCCTAGAAAGACAGGGAGCTTCACCGCCGCATGCTGCTCCTAGACAAGGCAATGCAGCCGGAGGGTTCCCAGGGAAGCATATATCGGGAGAGGAAAGGGCTGCCTCACCAGTCACTGAGGCACGGGCAAAAAGGGGTTGATCCCCGGTGAGATTCTTGCCCTCAAAGCCCTCCCCCTGAGAAGCAGGAGCAGAAAAGCAGCACAAGCCCTGTACCGGGGAATCCAACAACAGCACAGACGCCGCGATCATGAAGGCAGGCTCAGCCTCAGTGCCGGCAGAATCAATGGACACGGCAGTGAGGGGAACCGTGCACAGCCCACGTGCAGGGAACTGGCACTGGGAGCAAGCTCTTCCTCCTCCCGTTCAATGCTACCACCCAGAGATACTCAAGAGCAGCCGCATCCAGATACAGCTGCCAGTGAGAACCCACAGCTGTCACCTGTTCAGCCTGGAAGAGCTTCCCCCCGCAGCCATCTCCAGCGTTTGCCTCAAGCTATCCACGATCTCCAGCATTATCGGAGAGGGACCACATCAGATGGGGAGTGCATTGCAGTGTCTCTTCATCACAGCGCTCTTCCCCCACTGAGGCTCATCACCACCTTACTCCCCCTGGTATCCAGAGTATCTGTACCTTCCACCCTACTACCCACCTCACTGGGTGCCATGGGATTACTGGGGGACACAGAGGAGACACCGGGCATCGTCTTCGGCCTCAGGGAGGCTCCCTCCACCATCTCCAACTCAAAAACAGCGCCGCCCGCTACAGATTCAGACGAGGAGGAGGGTCAATTTTCTGATGACCAGGAGGACCTACAGAACACTTCTTCCCATATCAATGATACATCATATTCATAGGATGCTGTCATAGCAGACGAGTCTCAGCCATCAGATAACATAAAACAATTTCACGAGCTGTTTAAGAGAGTGGCAGCTACACAGGCCGTCCATCTCCAAGAAGTAGGGGAGAAACAACAAGAACATACGCCCTGCTTCACAATCCAGAATTGCACTCCCGATTGATGAAGCAATAATCGAGGTCTCTGACGAACTCTGGAAAACTCCTGCCTCAATCCAACCAACCTCTAATAAATCAAATAGGAAGTACTTTGTTCCACAGAAAGACCTGGATTTTCTATTTTCACATCCACAGCCCAGCTCTCATTGGAGATGCGGCTAATCAACGAGTGAAAGCACCACATGCTAAAGCAGCGGCTACTGACAACGACCACAAGAAGCTGGACCTCTTTGGGAAAAAGGTCTATTCCTCAGTACATACACTACGCCTTCCCACCCATCCCTCTAATATCCAGAGTGGATATTAGATCAGAATGGACAGAGCACTGTCTTGGGCAAGATAAGACCTGGTTCTCGCTCCTCGTGTGATGTCTGTAGCTGAACCGTACCCTCTGCCCTTCAGGCATGACATCCTATCCCAGGACATGAGCAGATTGCTTCACCCCAACCTCACACACTCCTGCCTAAACACATGGATCCTTTCTGGTTCCATGGAACAGAAGCCCTATGTTCAGACCCCATAAAGGAAGTCCTCCTACAGAGCAGAAGGCCATCAACCAGGGCTATCTAACTCCAAAAGTGGAAAAGATTCTCCACTTGGTGTCACCTGGCCCACACAGATACTCAGGTGGCACTTCACCAGATTCTCAAATACTTACATCATCTTAAAATTGGGGGTCTATCAAACTCCTCTGTCAGGGTACACTTGGCAGTGATATCAGCTCTACATGAGATCATAGATGGCTCATCTGTATTCGCACATCTCACTATGAGGTGATTTCTGAAAGGTTTCCAAAAATCTATACCCTCCCATCAGGACACCCCCACCTACACGGGATCTAAATCTTGTCCTGGACACACTCATGAGGCCTCCATTTGAACCCTTGGCCACTTGCCCACTACAATTCCTACTGATGAAGGTGCTGTTCCGTACAGCTATCACCTTGGCAAGATAGTAGCCCTCATGGCAGACCCACCCTATACAATCTTTCCTAAGGAAAAGGTAACGTTACTCCCTCACCCCACCTTTTTACCCAACGTGTGCATAGCTTTTCATATTAATGAGCCAATAGTGCTACCAACATTCTTTCCCAAGCCTCATGCATATCCAAAGGAAGCCATGCTTCACACACTTGACATACAAAGAGCTCTGGCCTTTTATATAGATAGGACTCAGGCATTCCGCAGATCTTCCCGGTTGTTCATTTCCATCGCACCGCAATCCAAAGGCCTCCCTATTACAACGCAACACATTTCCAAGTGGGTGTCGTCATGCATAATGCATTGCCACACACTCAGCAACAAGCCCTTTGCCCTCTCCACCAAGGGCACACACAGCCCGTGTAACAGCCACTTCCACAACCTTTCTCACCAATGTACCACTCAAAGACATTTACAGAGCAGCCACTTGGTCGTCAAAGCACACCTTCGCTAAGCACTATGCTATTATGCCACAACTGGCTGCCGACCAGCACTGGCAACTGCAATACCATCTACAACCTCTAAGCAGTGACTCCGATTCCCACCAGCCTGTGGGATACTGCTTGCCAGTCACCTGACGTGGAGCACCCACGGGGACATCATCTGAAGAAGAAAAAGGGAGTTACTCACCTTGTAATGACTATTCTTTGAGGTGTGTCCCCCCCCCGTGGGTGCTCCACGACTCTCCCTTCCTCCCCTCTACTCAGAGTCACTCACTGCTCCAGTGGAGAAGAAGAACTGAGGGGAGAGGGTGAGCTGGGCACGTGAGGTGACAGTCAAGGAACAGCACGCGCTCCCCTCGCGCATGTGCAGCTCAGACACTGCTAGGAAAAGACTCCACACTGAAGCTCCAGGACGTCACCACACCTGACGTGGAGCACCCACGGGGGGAGACACCTCGAAGAACAGTCATTACGAGCTGAGTAACTCCCTTTTACTGCTGCAGGCATTCTAGCTGGGTTGTTGTATGCCCTGTCGTAGGGCATGGGTTTCAGTACAGCAGGAGCTGTGTCTCTCACTTTGCTTAGGTCAGTGCAAAGGAATGGGGGCTGTCCTGCCCCGCCAGCTTGGGCTGGACCCTGGCATGTGTGCATATGTGCTCTGCCTGCCATTACCAAATCACAGTAAAGATCTCTTGCCTTTTGTTCTCCTCAGGTATATGATCATGAGGGAGTGCTGGCATGCAGTCCCATCACAACGGCCAACCTTTAAGCAGCTAGTGGAAGACCTGGATAGGATACTTACTGTAACATCAACTGACGTAAGTGTTTCTCTCTGGCTAAAGATCAGTCCTGAGTAGAGATGGGCCTGAACCAGAACCCAAAAGTTGATCTTTCTAGAGCGCTGGAGGGCGGCTTAAAGCCAGACCTGGCCCATACTTTTATAATGAATTAAGGCAAAATCCCAGATCCCAAAATTTTGAGGGGTGTTCAAAACCAGCTCTGACAGTGCAGTTCTAATCCTAATGCTTGTGCTAATGGTAAAGCATTGCAGCATCATTAGTGCTCTCTTCTCCCCCACCATATAACAAAGTGACTTTTCTCCTTGCAGGAGTACCTTGACCTCTCAGTGCCATTCGAGCAGTATTCCCCTGCCTGCCAGGACACACACAGCACCTGCTCTTCTGGAGACGACTCAGTGTTTGCCCACGACCTTCTGCCAGATGAGCCATGTCTTCCCAAACACCAGCAGTATAATGGTGTCATCAAGACATGATGGCTCCAAACCCACAGACGGACCCTGGGGGGTGGGAAAACTCATGAATGTAGGCTTGGGAGACACCAAGGACAAACCATAGTGAAGGATCTTGAATGAAACTGCTTGGTAATTCAGGAAGTTTTTTATTGTTGAGCCGCAGAAGGGTTATGGGGATTGGGGTTATTTTTTTCCTATTTTGCTGTATAAGAAGTCAAAAAGCACTGTTTGGCCTGAAGGAACTAATCTCTTGCCAAGATTTTTTTTTCCAAACAAAAAAAAAATGTTAAATCTAGAGGTGCTGACCTCTGGACCTCCGGTAATGTATTATCGGGTGCCAGAGTTGCCATTCTGTGCCTGCAATACCAAGAGGAAAAAAATCTTTCTGGGGGAGAAGTATAAAGAATGTAGAAATTCTTTGCTTATGCAATCTGTACATGAACCTTTTTGGTGAAGCTGAAAAGCCACATTGCCTGCAGGGATTAATATATTTATATAAATAGCTATATTTTTGTTGGTTGGGGGATTTTTTCTATAGTTGCACGATCATTACCCAGCTACTTACAATTTTTTTTAAAGATTCCTTTTTTGTTTTGTTTTTTTGACTAGTCAAAGTCTCAAAGGAATGATTGGTTTGGTGGCAAACAGAGATCATTACCCACTCTTGAATTTGGGCTGGGAGTGACTGGTATATACAGAGGAGTTGTAACATTCCAAGCAGAAGGGCAATGCAAGAAGGTCATTGTAACCTATTCATTTTTGGGTTCATAAGGAGTAAAGCATCAACGTGGCTGGTATAGAGGTGCCACATGCCTCTAGCGAATCGCAGAATTAGTTTCTGGTCTTGCAACCTCTTACACATGAGAACACTCTTCATCCAGAGCCCCACTGTCTTGTGGGGAGTGAGGGCGGCGCTTCTTGTGGATGAAGTGTTTTAGTCAGTGTGCTGTAGGATCAGGCCCTAAGAATGTAAAAATCACACTCTTGAGATGGAGATTTGAGTCCAAGAGAAGCAGCTATTCAGTACTTTTTTCCTTTAAAAGCTAGCAAGTTGTCTTTATTAACCCACAGTGACTTGGAGAGTGAAATTACGGGTACCTGTAGGCAAGAGTCTTTAACTTATATCAAAAAGGTTTATTCCAGAGAATTGTGTACATATCTATAAATATATACTGTATATATATATATATAAAAAAGAATGTATAATACTAATGCAACATAAAGCAGTATGAGAGGGGAAACCTCTCAAAAAAAAGAGCATTGCAATCTAGGATATTCTGATCTGGGCAAAAGATTTTGTGTTTTATCTTCACAGTTTTGTTTTAAAAATTGTATCTTAACATGTATATTTGTAAATTTATTTATAGACATTAACATATCTGTTCATTGGTTGAAATAGCATAGCATTACTGTAAACTTTAAAATTTACTGAGTTTAAGGGTTTTTTTTAACTTATTAAATATGGAGAAAAATATATTAATCAAGTTTTCTTTTATGTTTATGGAAATATTGAGAGAATGTATAGATGTACAGTATTTTAACAAATTTACATTTAATGTTATAAATATATATTCATTTTTTAAAAATTAGTTTATCCTGGATTGCAGTGAGCAAAGGTAAGTTTATTTTGCAATACATCATCAGTGGTTAAATCCAAATAAATAATAGAGTTTCAAATCATTTTTACGTATTTGAAAAACTAAGGCCAAGAATTCTTCCATCAGTTTAACCACTGTTCATTAAGAAGGTGTGGGTGTTTATTTTTCTATTTTTAAATGAAGGTATTATTTGTGGTTGATCTTAAAAACAAGTTATGCAGCAAAGTTAAGTGTTGACTTTGAATGATGCACGTTATTTATTTTTTTTCCTCCTTGCCGGTATCATTGCATTTTTGGATTTAAGAAATAACACACTGGCAAAACAGCAAGAAAAACTGCATTCTTTATAGGGGAAGTACAAGGATTGTATATCACTTAAGTCTACGCATGTTAAAAATGCCAATAATGCCTAATTTGCTAGACTTAACTTTGTATGGTATTTATGGGCCTCTGTGCCAAATTACTGTTTAAAAGCACACTAAATAAACAGGGGAACTTTAGTATGGACCAGAAAGGCAAAGGGAGGTATTTTTATGAGAAGATTTTAACTCTTACTACCACAAAGAGGCAAATATAATTACATATTGGGTTGTTTGGTTTATTTTTCCCTGTGCATCTCACGTTAGTATTATTTTTTTAGTACCACAAATATCTTCTCATAAAAGGAATAATTTATAGTTTGAGGTTATGTCATTTGAAGTTCTTGACAAAGTAGATTTCTATAGATTTGGGAGTTTTTTAAATTAAAGAAATTTTGGTATTTTCTTACAAATGTCTGCTAAATTGTACATTCCAAGTACCTAAATCATTAGGTTTCCCATAAAAATGTACAAATTTGTGCATGATTTCAAATGTTATTAGATATTATAAATATATATATAATTTATTGAGGTTTTTACAAGATGTATCTGTAGACTTGATGACTTTAACATTTCTTATACAATGCTTATATAGTTTTATAGCTGGGACTGTTATCTTTTAAAGCTTTTTTTAAAAAAAAATTAAAATTCCAATTTTGTTACATTTTGTACTGTTGTTACAATCCACAGATTTGCATAGTGTGAATTTGGGGAGGGGTGTGAGCAACTCTATTCAGTTTACTATTGTATTTCTTTTCCTCACAATCGCAACTGTCAAAGGTATTAAATGAACACACAGTAAACCAATTCTGCTTTTATTAACATGGGAAAGAAAGGTACTTTTACACAAAAATACAAATAAGTTGTTGAATCTGTTTTTTCCAGTTTTAATGGGCCTGTTAAACAATAAAGCCTCTGTTTTCAAGTGTGTCTTTAGTGATTGCCTTGGTAAAGAGATATAGCATGGATTTGCATTGTGATATGTATTTATAGGCCTAATCTCCACCCAGATTTTGTCACAGTTAGAGAAGCAATTTTTACCAATAGAGATTACTCTACTGCAGTGTCTCTCAAACTGTGCTCTATGGAAGATCCCTTATTCCTGATTTTAAGAGGAAGGGATCTTCTGGAAAAGGCTTTATTTTCCGAAAGATCCCGTCTACACTGGCGCTTTTCTCCAGCAAAGCCCCGAGCCGGAAAAAAGCGGCAGCCATGTTCATGCAAATGCCACGGGGGATATTTAAATCCCCTGCGGCATTTGCAATTCCAAAGTGTCTCATTAGCATCCCTTTTCCGGAAAAGTGTGCCACTGTAGACAGAGCCCTGGATTTCAGCTGTGCAACTAGCCAGCCTGCAGCGCTCTAGATCAGGGCTACAATGATACTTTCAGCATATGCTGGGGGCTGCAACTTAAGCGTGGTTGCGTATAGATGAAAATAGTTTCTTTCACACTGATGGGCATGAATACAAAGATTAAGGCAAGACTACACAACACACAAGCCCCATTTAAGTCACTTTTGCTGATATTAATCAAATGCAGTATTTACCCGATTTCTACCCCTATGACAGCACTTTTAATGAGCACTAGCATTAACTACTAAAATGCATATCAACAGAAGATCATTATATTGATTACTCTTTTGTTTTGGCTCCCACCCGTGGGCCACGTGTTGAGTACCCCTGCTCTAGGCCTTCGAAGACTTGCATCTATGTTTAACTTCATTTACAGGCCATACCTTACACTAGGGAAAAAGGGTTTTTTAACATTACATTGATAGTGCAGTTTTAGCACTTTAGCTAGTCAATGGAAATGCTGGGGGATGATGGGGGAGAGTAGCCTATGAACACAAGGACACAGTCTGTCCCCGTCCATCAGTCTCTGCAAAACAGGTGATGAACAGTGCAGCCAAGAAGTCTGAGGCCATGTCTATGTAACCCATACACCTAGGCTATGTCTACACTGGTGGCTTCTTGTGCAAGAACATCTTGCACAAAGGTTCTTGTGCAAGAAGTCTTGCGCAAAAAAAGTCCACACTATGTGCACGCTGTGTTTTTGTGCAAGAGCTCCCATGTCAGTGTGGACGCTCTCTTGCGCAAGAAAGCTGCCTAGTACCCACACTGCCCTCTTGCGCAAGGCCTTCTATGCAAGAGGGCTTACACCTGATAAAGAGTGTAACTCTTGCAAAAGGAGCCCTCTATTATCACACCGTACTGTAAATTTACTTGCACAAGAGCGGGTGGGCAGTGTAGACGCTCTGCGGATTCTTGCGCAATAACCCGCCAGTGTAGACATAGCCCTAGTGTGGTTCACTGACCCATGCAGTGGCACTTAGACCACAGCAACAACTAAGCTCAAGAGATCTCTACAGCATGGGCTGGAAGCCTGGTGGCTTTTAGCTCAGCGGGTAGAGGCTCCTATACTCAGCTCCAGAGGTCCCAGGTTCAAGTCTGCTCGGTGGCGGTTACATCTACAGTAGGAGATTAGTCCACATTTATTAAGTTGGATTTCTGGGCACCCGATTTTTCAAATTTGAAGTTCTGTGTCCTCACCAAGGGGAAGAATCAACTAGTCCGAGGCAGGCTCCATTCATGTGGATGCGCTTCTGCAGACTCAGTCTCAGGAGGCACATTGGGGAGCTGTGGGAGGCCTTCAAGAGGCCATTTAGTTTGAATTGGTGACACCAGAGTGTACACACTAACGTTATTTCAGACATCCAAGTTTGGGAATAGTGTTATTCCTCTTGAAAAGCCAGACTAAAGAGTTCAAATGCCACAGCCCCTTATTCTGGAACAACAGGTTTGGTAGTATAGACACACCTCTTATAAATTCGACCTTGGGGTGATAATTTCAGGCTAAGGTCCTAGTGTAGGCCTTAGAGGGGTAGCAGTGTTCATCTGTAACTTTAAAAACAATGAACAGTCCTGTGGCACCTAGAGACTAACATATGTTAGGTCATGAGTTTTTGTGGGTAAAACCCACTAAATCAGATAAGTGGGTTTTACCCATGAAAGTTCATGACCTAGCAAAGTTGCTAGGTGCTACAGGACTGCTCGTTATTACAAACAATAGCTGTACATTAGAAGGGTGGAGGAAATGGGTTTTCTTGGGTTTTAGAATTTTTTCATTGCATCTTAGTGAACACAAAACAGTCATGGCATTCTGTGATGTACTGAAAGGAAATGTGATAGCAGTGTGGCTGATTTTTTTTGTCATGGTCTGGGAGCAATCTGATTGCATGGAGTAGTACCCTGAGCTATGTCTACATTAGACCTTACGCCAGCACAGCTGAACTGTGATGCTTGTATGTGCTCCTGTGTAGCCACTCTATGCCAAGGGAAGAGAGCTCTCCTGCTGGCATAATTAAACCGTCCTCAATGAGTGGTAATATTGGGAGTCTGTGGGAGACACTATAACCCTATCCCCACTGTCACCATTGTCAAACTTATGTTTGGGGTTTTTTTTTCACTCCCCCAAAAGACGAAAGGGGTAGCATAGACAAAGCCTTACTCTGACCGTGTCCCCACTGACTTCAGAGACACACATTCAGCACTAAGGCTAAGGACATTAGACCCCACCCTCTTTTTATATCCTGCATCTTATCTAATTTTTAGTGGGATAATGTCTTAGTCATATCTGCAGTCACATAAGATCAGAGATTTTTGTTCTGAAACCAAATCGTGTGCTGAGCACAGAATGAATTAGTAAACATCTTCAGCTGAACATGGAAAAACTCCAGGCTTCCTTAACTCTGCTTAATAGGTGCTATAGCAGAGACACCTGTAGGTTTCAGTGCCTACCTTTGCCTAAAGGGTACCATGCTTGATGAATGCGTAGCCTTGTGTTAATTCGCTCTACATCTCTAACTGGCTGTCCTGAAAGAGTTCAGATATTTGTCGGAACATGTGCTCACTTGTAGTCTACAGTACACCTGTAGCCTTAGCTCTTAAAGACTGAAAAGAATCCCCAATACACACTGGAAGTCCATCCCTGAATCTTTGCAGATTTGTACAAAATCATAGTTTCCATCAAATCTTGCCTTGAACAGCTGTTGCCATTATGATGGGTCACATGATGGAATTATTAGCCAACTGAGGGCTGCCATTTTGAATCCTGCCCAGGTTTCTAGTGATTGGCACCAAATGGCTTCTGGGGGGGGGGGGGGGGGGGGGGGCTGGATCCATCTCCCCAAAGACAGCCGTCTATATCACACAGAACCGCCATCACAACCCATGCATTCTGTCTGTGCCTACAGGAATAGTTGTGGCAGCAACGGTATTTATTTTACAGACAATTGCTACTCAATTAATGCTCACTATGAGCATGGGGGAGTCTTCAAAATAACTTCTCTTCTTTTGAATGGGCTTCTTCTCTTTAATGGGCTTATTTCAAAATAACTCCTGCTTGTAAAGAGGAATAAGCTTATTTTGAAATAACTCCCAAAATAACTACCAGATCAATGTCTACAATACCAAGCTGATAGGTTATATGCGTTTTTAGCTATGCCTGTCTTCGTTTGAGAGGAGGAGGACTCAAGGAAACATATTTTGGATGATATTAGGTCAACAGACTACCCATCTTCCAAACACAGGCAGCAGAACTCAAAAACCTAATCCAAGCAATGTGGACTCCCTGGACCTGAGGGAGCATGTTGGATAGACTGTTTTACACACCATGCAACAGATTCAATTCTTGCTACACCACAGGATGGTGCTACACCACAGGATGGTATAGGGTAGGCAGACAAGCCATTGGTGTAATCCAGTGCAAGTCAGAGGAGGACCAGGAACTAGCTCTGGTCAGTCTCACCCTCTTTGCAGTGATAGCTCAACAGTTTAATAAGTGCCAGTTGTCATCCTGCAGCATTAGTATAGCCATGTTGCGCCCAGAATATCACGGTGACTAGGTGCTGAGATATGTAAAGACAAAGCCCTGTTAACTGGTGCTGACCACTTTTCCTAAAGTGAGCACTTTGAGGGTGATATCTGATAAAGTCAACCTGCCCAATTTTAAAAGCCTGAGGAGCTTACATTGAAAATTGTTCTAGACACCCATAGTTGCATGGGTGTGATTTTTTCAATGACGTGGGATGATCGTTGCAGCACTTGGTACTTGGTCTGGATGGAAGGGGCTTGGTTACAGGCTGGAGCATAGACTCTAGCCCTAGCAGATCCATGACACCTTGTGACCCAGGTGCCATCAGCTGATTTGAGTGGAGGAAGGGCTGCCTATCACAGCCCAAATGGGAAGGAACTATTCAAGCAAACAGCAAAGCAGGTAGGCTGTAAGTTAAGTATATGACTCCCTGTTACCCGAGAACCTCAAGTCTTTAATGAACATATCCTTAGCTAAAGCTGAACCCATCCAAGACAGAGATTACACTGGTGCACATTTTGAAGAATTTGCCGCCCCAATACTGTCGTGTTGATTCAAGGCACACCAACAAGTTGTCAGTTCCATCTGTAGCTCAGGGATTCCTTGCTGACACTGAACTTGGATGTAGCCTCATCTGTAAGTAACACTTAATTCTACTATCTCTCCATTGGCTAGGAGACACCATCCCAGCATGGCAAACGAGGCCCTGGCCTCAGTTATATTATATATGTCTTCATCACCTCTCAGCTGGGCTACAGCACTGTGATACACGCGGGCATGATCTCCCCAGCAAAGCAGGTCACCACAAGGTCTCTACTACCTACACTGGCTTCCCCTAGAATACTGAATCAAATTCAAGGTGCGCCATGGCTTAGGCCCAGGGTAACTACAAGATGAACTAAGGCTCTGAGATGAAGACTGGGCTGGAGGACTTAGCTCCTCTGGCACAAGGGAACACTTTTCAATAAGGACCAAACTTGTCTGCACAAGAGACAGAGCTTTGTCAGGGACTGACTACGGAATGACCTCTCACAAGAGCTGATGAGCAGCAC